CCGACCTTCTCGTTCTCTGGAATACATACACACACTTGGCTAAGGCAAGGCAAGGCAAGGCCTTTTCTTTTTTCTTGCCACTTGGCACTGGGGGAGGATGAGTCATCAGTCTAAATTATCCGTTGCAGTCGCTGCCCCCCGAACAACTGTCTAACCCCAAATGTATTTGGCGTTACACCCGCCATCACGAGTGCAGATCACAACCCACCCACGCAGTTCAAAGGCCTTTTGTGGGTTGCCATATGATATATCCGATCACCGAAATTTATATATGTATACCTACGATCCCTCTTGCGATGAACGGCCTCATCTCTGGCTAGCAAACGACCTGGTCCCCCCCGGGGAGCTTCTGTTTATGCAACCGCTGTTATGGGGCATAACGGAATTCTCTAACATCGCAGCCTTCTACATGTTCATATGTGTGTATGTGTGCAGCCATAGTCTGGCCATGGCAGAAATGCTCATCCTGAGGTGCGTGTCTGTGTAGATACATATATATGTATGTGTGTAAATATGATTTAAATTTGAATATTCACTAAACAAAAAGACAATGCTGCCACTACAGTTTAAAAAAAGTTTCAAAAATGTTTTAAGAGCTCATGTCAAGCACGAAATGATGTCGACACGGACACGAGCATCTCTGGCTTTCTTGCTTCCGACCTCGACCCATGACATAATCGATATACATATGTACATACATATGTGTGTACTGTTGCTCGATAGCTGTTGTTGATATTGGCGTTGCCGTGGATGCCATTTCATTTGCATGACCACATCAAAAATCTAGGCTACAGTCCAAAACAAACCTTGTCTGCAGGACATGGCAAACGGACTCCGAGCCTACGACTCCCCACCAACCCACCCACCGCTGCTCAACTTTCGCGGAGGCCGACCGAAAGCAAAGTTTTTAACAAAAGGAAATTAACCCAAATTGGTTTGTTCACGTAGCCCCACCTGTGCCTCTCCCAACATACATACATACGCTGTTTGTGGCTCTGCCTGCAGGTGCGCTGGGTGGCGACGGAGACTATTAAAACAAATTATTGATGCGTGGCGACCTTTGGCATCTGCGACTGTGGCGTGTCGTCGATAAATAAGCACCAGGCTAATGGGATGACTCACAGAACCCAAGTCCCGAATCGTTTACCAGAGATAGCACACTAGCCCCCGCAATTTTCAAATACTTTGTCCAATCTCCGCCAAAATAATTCTTATTCTGATTTACAAAATTTGTGTTAGATTTTCATAGCAGTTCCATACGAGAACATATGTACATGTGTATGTTCTATGTAAACAAAAAACCGATTCGATAAAAATATATTTTGAATTGTTTCGATGAATGTCCAGACAGCTAGACTTTCCGTTAGTATTTCTCAACATTTTGGCCTCAAAAGCTGCCTCGCTCTTCGATCTTTTGTACTTAACCCAAATTGAAGGTAATTGATTCAATCCGCCACCCGCTTTGTCCATTCAGCTGAGTCGTGCATTGAGAAGCACCTATCCGCATAGCCGGTAGCGCCCCCGCATTTAGTTACCACAAGCGCTTTTAGCGATTCAATTGAATTTGAAAATCAATTGATTTGATCAGCAGATTCCGTCGGATCCCCACGAGCCGCACAATTGTACGTTACACAGACAGATAGAGTGGTGCATACAAATAAATATTTGTTACCAGCTTTCGGAATGTATAAATACAGGGAATATCGATCTTAGCCATGTACATAGTACATAGTACACATCCATAAATAAATATAAATATATCCTACTACAACCATTCACATTCATATATCTTCGTGTACGCTGTGGGTACGGAGTGCAAGGGAGAATGTGCTAAGTACATACTTGTGTACATATGTACATACATATGTATGAATGATTTACATACTTGCCATTATTCGCTGCGATGCTGATGATGATAATGAACGAGAGAAGATGATATCATGATCATTTTTTGACATGATCGGTATTTTGTTGTCAGTAATCAATATTTACATACAATTTGTACCCTGCAACCATGTGCTGACACACACACACACACACATTTCCTCAAATTCGTGCTTAGAGGGGAAACTACAAAAATAACGCAGTTTTATTTACGCCCGTTCTCCTCATGTCTCTTCCCTTTCCCGTTTCATTAATTTCCTTGCGTTTGGATTTTCAATAACGAAAAAATATGCATGACATCACCATCGGATGCCGGAGAGATAGAGGCACGAGAACATGGCACACTCACACTCTTGCCAACACACCGAATGCCAGTGCCAATAAGCTGGTGTGTGTGTGTGTATGTGTATTTGTCAGGTCCGCCAAGAGAATAGGGCGTCCGAGGGTGTGTGTGTGTGTGCCAGTTCGAGTGTAGCCAGAGGCACCATTACCGTTTTTGCAGGTGATTGTCTCTGGCTCTGATATTGCCATTCCCTTTTCCTAATTCTCCTTCCCTGTTGATTAGACGCTTCGAGCTTTCCCAATCTAACGGGTATCGGAATTGCTCATTGGCGCGTCAGGTTTGGTCAACTTTTTTGCACATGTCTGCGCAAGATGAGTTAGTAATAGGGTGACGCCGTCGCCACATCTGCTGACCATCCGTCTGTCAGTATGCATGCAAACGTCGGCCATCTCTTTCTAGCGATAGTCTCTCTGAGAGCCGAGAAACGTCACCTTATTACTAAATTCACCTTGGTCTGCCCCTGTACAGGCGATCATTGGCCTCGCACTCCCAGCAAGGTCGGCGCCATCCAAGAGAGACCAACCAACGGTTCGACTGATAAGCTCGGCGTGAATCGGTACGGAGAGGTGGTGGGGATTGTAGCGTAAGTGCTCGGCCACGACTCGCACACACATGTATGTTCCACATCCATGTACACATGTACATGAGTTTCTCCCGCACAGGTGCGTCGCTAGCTGGCGCTAGTCGGTGAAATTGGATCGGCCATTCTGACATGGTGTGAGTGCAAAAAAAAGCGCAAAGTACATATATACATACAAATATGTACATATGTATGTATGTACACATGATTACCCATGGAGTTTCTCGAAATCTTGTACTGTTGCCCTCTACTAATCGATCAGTAAATATATTTGCATATATCTATATGTTTGTGTATGTGTATGAAGATGTGTATTTATCTCGATTGCTATAATTCTCTATTTCCCGTTCTTTTTATCGCCTTACATGCTGCTTGAATTGAATTAATTTACCGCAATCATTTTATATAACTATGATAATCTCGTCTTCTATCGAACAAAAGCTCTACCAAAAAAACTACAACAACAACCAGGTACAAGAAATATCTAACTAAAAAAGATTATTTTTTGTTTCTGTTTTTAATGGTTTAAATGTTCATCATTTCTTTAGTTTTCGTTGTAATTAGTTTTCGTGTCTAATAATAAGTTACACTACTCTAGAGATTGATTTACATACATATGTGGATGTATATTTATTTTCCCTGCACAACAAATAAACACGAAAACACATACATAGTATTTAAAATATTCGACAATTGTCGAGTGAAGCCCAGAAGAACTTTTGAAAAACACATTTGCATCACTTGATAGTAGTCTTCCTTTATACATATGTACATATATTTATAATTTGATTGTGCTGCCAATTGAATTATTCTATCAGCTGATCCATGAGTGGCCTTCAGTGTACTCAAAAAACGGACGCACATTAAATTCAGGTTTTATTTTTAATTTTATAGCTTGATCGAAAATATTGTAAGGACATTTTTTTTGCATATACATACATTTGTACATACATATATGGAAGTCCGAACCACTATTAACTTGGCCCATACCATTGTAATGAAGGCTACGTTTTAGGTGCACATTCCACAACACTTTCCGCACACACCAAAAAACAACAAAATTCCCTCCTACTCCCCCTCCCAGTGTGGATAATTATTTTGATTTTAAACTATTTGTTTTCATTTAATGTGATTGATTTGCAACTTTTCTATTGGCTTATGTAATTTTTTTAGCTCAACGACAAACTCGGCGCTGCCATCGCGAATCCCCAAGCAACAGAACTACGTGTCCGACATCAGTTCACCCTTGATACAGGTACGTACATCCATGCCATAGCTCGCTTCGATTTTGGTTTGACTTCGATCTAACCTTCTATTGTCTGGTTGCAGGATGAGGGCGATAACAAAGTGCTAAAGCTCCGCTTCGACGTCAGCCAGTATGCGCCCGAGGAAATTGTTGTGAAGACCGTTGACCAGAAGCTATTGGTAAGCACAAAAGGATATTAGACTTTTGTTGTTGCCTTGCTAATTATGAATTTGTCTTTCGCTTAGGTACATGCCAAGCACGAAGAGAAGTCGGACACAAAGAGCGTATACAGAGAATATAACCGTGAATTTCTACTGCCCAAGGGCGTGAATCCCGAGTCCATCCGTTCGTCCCTCAGCAAGGACGGAGTGCTAACAGTGGATGCGCCGTTGCCAGCCCTCACCGCCGGCGAGACATTGATTCCTATTGCGCACAAGTAAAGGCCATCAAACCATCCCATCCCATCCAATCCCATACCACCTTCCGGCGCGAGAGATGAAGGATCAGATCAGATCATCACGCCGATAATATTGGATTATCCTATCAAAATGATTAACTTTTTTGGTTCTGACTTAAAGCTATAATATGATACTGACTTACTACTCATAATTAACTTAAATGTAATGCAAATTATTATTAAATTTGATTAAATGATTAAATTAATTCATATTTATAATTTTCGCAATTAAACGTAATCATTTTTGTCGTATTCGCACTCGGACTGTATTCTACATAGTAGTTTCCTCAAAAGAAAACCCATCCCATCCCAGTCTCGAAGAACATAAACTGGTGGCTGGTGGCTAGTTAGCTACCTTAAAAACTGAGATAGCTGTGGAGAGAGATCAAAAGTGCCTATTTTTCTATGTCCAAATCAAGATGCTTTGGGAATAATAATAATAATACATTTTAGAAAACCACATTTTTTGTAGCTTTACCCAAATAAGAGCTTAGTCTCTCAGTTATATGAAGCGATTGAATGGGTGACGGCCGTCGTACGGCCTGAGATATAAAGTTGGGGAAAAGCCCTCACCAACAAAATCTGCAGATCGAGTGAAAGATGGGGAAAGGGGATACGCGCATGGGGGGGATGGAGGTGGAGGAAGTTCCGGTGCATCTACCGCCACAGATTCCAAGTCAGGAGCCGCGATACCAGATCAAACCCATGGAATATGTCATATCCGCACTCATCGGCGGACTCATTACGACAATTGTGGGTGAGTAGAGGTCTCGCGTAGTGGCTGTGATATTACATCTTACGCTCGTGCACGCTAACCTCCAGTGACGCCCTTGGAGGTGGTAAAGACACGGGTCCAGACCCAGCATGCGATGCGCCATAAGCCGACTATCTCCAAGATGTGCTACGTTTTCCACAATGGCCTGATGACGCATGTCTGCAAACCAAACACCGAATGCGTGCCAAAGCCCGGAAGGGACATCAACAACATGCGTCCGCTACGCGGGGCCATGGTAAGTGCGACAGAAAATGGTGATTGCATGGCATGATTGCTCTCTGGTATCTAATTCTGGTGTGCCACAGGATGCGCTACTTAAAATAGTGTGCGGCAGCGGAATAGCCGGCCTCTGGTCTGGCCTGAGTCCCACACTCATATCGGCCCTGCCTTCCACAATTATCTACTTCCTCACCTACGAGTACCTGAACAGCTCGTTCTCCAAACTCTACACAAACTCCCGTCAAAGCAGTCAAACAGTGGAGACAGGCCTTAAGGGGTCATTTGATTTGGCACAGGCACCTTTGGCGGTGCCGTATTTTGTTCCAATGGCCTCCGGCATTTGCTCGCGCACCATAGTTGTAACGGCAATCACGCCGATTGAGATGGTCCGCATCAAGATGCAATCGGGCTACATAACATACGAGGAGCTGTGGCGAGTGATGCGCACCCTGGTGCGACAGCACGGCGTGCTGGGCCTCTGGCGCGGTTGGCCGCCCACCGTAATGCGGGACGCGCCCTTTTCTGGAACGTACTGGGCGACGTATGAGTCAATAAAACGGAGCTTTGCCGTGACTGAGCCTACGTTCTGGTTCAGCTTTTTTTCGGGTGCAGTGTCCGGAGCGGTGGGTGGTGGTGTGCGCATTTTAGACCAGCCATTTTAGCTTGATTGTGTCCTTTCCTGTCCTTTCCAGCTGGCCACCTTCGTGACGATGCCGTTCGATTTGATCACGACGCACACGCAGATTGAGCTGGGCCAGGATGTTCTCTATAAAGATTTGTCATCAGGAGGCAAAACAAAAAATGCAGACAAAGCCAGACCGTCGGTCTTCTCACGCCTCGCAGATATCTACCGCCAGCAAGGCGTCCGTGGGCTCTACATGGGCGTTATGCCTCGCATCCTGCGCGTGGTGCCAGCCTGCGCCATCATGATTTCAACGTTTGAATACAGCAAAGCCTTCTTTTCTCACCATAAGCTCGATATGAAGTAAACTGGAAGGTGCCTCAGGCGCCCAGACGTTAAAGTTTTTATTGTGAATGGTGAGGCTCAAGCGAAGCTTGAAGGTTTTTATATGAAGTTTCATACAAAAGTAGGATCAATTATACCAAAGTTGTCACGACGATAATGTTTTATCAGTTAAAAATGTACCCGAGCTTTTTTTAAACTAATTAAAAATAGTATCGATTGTGCCAATCGATAGTCCGGTCACATGGCAACAGCTGTTCGGCATCATCACCATTGGAATGTACGGAATCGAAATGAAACAAATCGGTCGGACAAGATATTTTATTTTGGACCTGGAGGCTATTTCACAATGATTAAGAGGCTTGCCTGATTGCCGGTTTTGTACATTACATGACAATAGCAACGCGACAACGTGCGCAAACACACAACTTCACATATAATCAGAAGAACAAAACTCATTGACTCGCGTATAATAAAAATCATGCCCATGAGGGAATCGAGTGGAGCTTTTGCGACCGCGGCAGGCTTATGTGGAGTACTACCGGCGCAAACCCATTCGAAGGCCAAAATGACAGATCCCAGATTTCGCATACGACCGCTTCAGCAAGTAGCATCGGCCTGCACTGGCGCCATGGTCACCGCCTGCTTTAGTAAGTTTGTGTAATGTTCCAGAAACTGTTGAGCTGTTGGTATTTATGATATTATTTATTGCAGTGACGCCCTTGGATGTGATCAAGACACGCTTGCAGGCTCAACAGTCGGCCCTGCTTTCGAATAAATGCTTCCTATATTGCAACGGCCTCATGGATCACATCTGCCCATGCGGTCCTGGCACGCCAAGCCCGACATTGTCCAAGCCTGCTCCGCACTTTTCTGGCACCATTGTAAGTATACAATAGACAGGACAGGACTGGACAGTCCAGTCTGTGGAGTATAAACAAGTTTTCTGTGATTTTGCAGGACGCGTTCATTAAGATAAGTCGCGCAGAGGGAATTGGTTCGCTATGGTCTGGACTCAGTCCTACGCTCATCTCGGCCTTGCCCTCGACCATCATCTACTTTGTGGCCTACGAACAGTTGAAAGCTCGCTTTACCGACTTCCATTACAATTACTTGCTGAACCTGGACCCAGTTCAAGACTCATCCGATGTCCGTGACATTCCAATGCTTGTTCCCTTGCTGGCTGGCGTGACAGCTCGCATTCTGGCCGTGACCTGCGTCAGTCCTGTAGAATTGATACGCACCAAAATGCAGTCTCAGAAGATGACGCACGCCGAAATGTTTGGCACTATCCGCCAGGTTGTACAGTCGCAGGGACTTCTTGGCCTGTGGCGTGGACTGCCGCCGACAATACTACGGGACGTCCCATTTTCGGGCATCTACTGGACCTGCTATGAGTACCTTAAAAGCATCTTTAATGTGGTCGAACCAACGTTTGGCTTCAGTTTCGCAGCGGGAGCAATATCGGGATCGGTATGTCAATCAAAATTGCCACAAAGTATGGAGCTTCGAATTAGTGATAATTAATCGAACGACCTAAAAATTTTAGGTCGCTGCCATGGTTACCACACCGTTTGATGTGATCAAAACCCACGAACAAATCGAGTTTGGCGAGAAGTTTATATTCTCAGGTAAACCTATTGCTATCTCGGGCGCTGCAACAAGCTCCACACGCATTGACAATGGTTCGGTTTGCATTACGGCAGATAATCCACCCAAAAGCGTGGCCACAAAGTCGGTGATGGCTCGCCTGTCTAGCATTTATCGCCTGGGCGGTGTACGCGGCATTTTCGCTGGACTTGGACCGCGTCTCTTCAAGGTGGCGCCCGCCTGCGCAATCATGATTTCATCCTTCGAGTACGGCAAGTCCTTCTTCTACCACTACAACGTAGACCAACACAATGAGGCGCTTCTCGCGATACCACACAATCGTAGGATAACGCCAGCCGCCCATGCCTCGGACTCGGCCCCAGGGAATTGCGACAAGTTCAACTAGCGTCGCTGCCATACCCCACTCCATCTAAATGTATATAAATGTGTAAATTATGCCAAAGATGCAACCGAATCGCTGGATTGCAGCTGTCTGCTGAGGTTATTCGAACCCTAACGCGTTGGTAAATTGTATAGTGAAGCAAAATTTTTGTTATTTTCTTTTTGAACTATGCATAAACCCCGGAAGCATTGTCCCTACGAAATAAGAGGCAACACACCTTACGCTTTCTGCTGGAAACTTTATGGGCGGGTGCCATAAGTCCCCATAAATAAAGAAGGCGACATTTTTTTCATTTTAGAATTTTTCACCCGATACAAAATAAAATATGTATATCAAAATATTATTTTGATACGGCACAAACTTGAATTGCAGCATACAAATGTTTATTTATAGCCGGACTGGGGAGTGTGTGGGTTACCCAAAACTATTATATATAATAGATAGATGCATGCATGCATAACTGGCGGCCCATAGGGACGGACACAGCAGGATCGACTTTGTTTTTGGCTCTTTCTCAAGAATTTATTCATGTACATATGTATGTATTTTTCCCTCCCCCTCCATAACCCTTATCTTCCAACACGCAGAAATAAAGTCGAAATATTTTTTGAAATTAAAGAAAATAGACTTCATATATTTGATCACATTTTATCAGTTCAACAAGCGTAAATACTGGGTAATTTATAAGTAAAAAACAAAAACAAAAATCTTCATATTTAAGAGATCATACGTCATATGTCTGTAAACAAAGAACAAAGTTCGCAGTGCTGTAGTTTCTTAAATTATAGTGTGTACTTTAGTAACAGCCTAATCGTAGGTTCTTAAGGAATGGTATGTATGTAAACGAAATGATATTGAAAATTGTTGAATGTTCCACCAGGGATCGGTTATTGCGCCATATCGACTATGTATTGAAGTCTGTTAGGTAAGGTCCTAACCAAGCTTTGTGCCATTTCGGGTGTTATTTTTTTCCATTCCTGAGAGAGTGCTGCTTTTAAGTCATTTTCATCGATTATCGAATGGAAAATAATGTTTTGATCCAAAATTTCCCATAAATTGTCAACTATATTAATGTCCAAGTCATAGGAAGGTGGTTTGATAACGTGTGGACACTTCCAAATAGTCCAGTACTGAATATCTGCGTCATGATCGATATTATTATTTTGGTAGTAGTGAAATTTCCTTATACCAAATTGCTGGGCATGCTGGATAACATTTTCTTTCAGTATTGAAAGATGCTTCTTTTGGGTAATTTTTCGATCAACGAACACCAAGTTTCCTACCCCGGCCGCGGAAATACAGCCCCAAACGACGAGTTTTCTACCTTTGTATTTCCTTTTCATCTCATGGTGTTCCTTAAGTCCGATATTTAAGTACATTGGACTAAACGAAGCTACGCCTGTAAATATTACAGAGTCCCAAAAGTCCGAGCTTTTCGACAAATGATCTTTAGCAAACGAGAGCCGGCTCGGTATATTTTCTATGGTTGAACCGACCTCGTTATTATTGTTATTTTCTATGGTTGAGAAGTCCTTGTTATTATTATTATTCTCATCGGTTGATAACGGCAGGTTATCACCTGCACCTCGCGCTTGGAGCACTCGATGAATTGTTTTCAAACTACACGTTTTGTTAAATTTGTTTTCCACATATTCAAGTAGATCTTTCAATGAAGTGGATTCGTTTTGATATTTTACAACTATCATTGTTTCTTCGTGTTCCGTAAAAATTTTATTCGGTGCCTTCCTGGACTTATAGCACACCCGGTTCTCTCGGACGAAACGTGTAACAATTGCTTGCACTGACGATCTCGCCATATTAACCATACCTCCGATCTTGCCATATGAGTAGCCATTTTGATAATATGTTATGACCAAAAGGCGTTTATCTATTGTTGAGCGCGGACCCATTATCTGTTCAGATCAAAATAAATTGTGTGAAAACAACGAAAAAACCAACAAGATCATATGTATATAAAGAATTTACCGCTGTTTTGTGGAAGTGGCGGGACAACTGTTGAATAGCAACGCATGTAGTTGTTTACCGAAAAGGTTCTTCAATTTGTATGTTTTTCTGCATACAAAATTAAAAGGTTTAATTGATTGATCGTGTTGTTCTGACAGAAACTAACTGTAGTCTCCAAAGTATAATGGTGTGTTTGATACGCAACGAAATTTTGTTGATTGAAGCGGCGCTCTTCTGATAGTGTGACCAAGTGCTGCACTGTGACTGCCGGGTACATATTGGAACATATGTTTAGTGCCATCGATATATCGATAACTAACCAACACGTGCACTCTTGTGCATTGTTTAGATCGCGTTTTGGACAAAAAAGTTAAGTTTTAGCTATGAGCAAACCTGAGGCCGAGACCATGGACGCTGCAAGCGTAGAAACCACGTCACAGAAAAAAGCGAGTTCTAAGAAATCAAAACTGCCGGTGAATGTGCCGCGCGGTCAACCTAAATCCAATCGGCCCTGGAAAACTCCGAAACAAAAGTGAGGAGTCTTGTTGCGATGTAATGTGATCAAATTGATTGATTTTGAATGTTTTGTTTAGATTCAGCACAATCAAGAAGACCGTGAACCGTCTGTCGTTTGAAAAGAAGGTTGCCCTTCGTGATGAATTGCGCTACATCAAGGAAAAATCAAAGGAAATTAAGAGTCAACGTAAGGAAGCGGCCGTTCAGCGTCACCAGCGCCGCGTGGAAAACGCAGAGCGTCGTTTGGCCAACGAACGTCGTTCAGAGATTGTCCAAGTCATCAAGAATCCCTCAAAGATCAAGCGCATGAAGAAGAAGCAGATGCGTATGATTGAGAAGCGCGACATCAGCCAAGTGAAGGTGGTCTAAGTCGCAAATGTATAGGAAATCCCACGCTAGAATGTAAATTTATTTTTTGGATAAATAAATGAATAGTTTTAATATACACTTTGTGTGTCCCGCATAGACGTAAATGCAGAAGTACTAGTACAAAAAGGACATTTATTTCTATCATGTGCCGTAAAACCAAAATTAGTGTATCTTAGTCTATTTCAACAGATTTACATAGTAATTCAAATCCACACTATCTGGATCTGTCTTCTTGTCGCTCATTTTAGCCCGAAATCGTACTAATATCTCTTTTCGTTTCTCATTTAGTTTCATGCTTATCAATTTCTTAGCTTTTGCATCGACCAGAGTCTGTAGCTGCACCTTTATGCCTGCCCGCAAAGCCAAATCCAAGCAATGTGCTGGGGACTGCATCTGAGTTTGCGTGGGTGAAGGGACTAGAGGGGACAGCGCCGTGGGCAAATGGAATAAAGAAAGGATGAATGTAAGAATCAACTGTGACACGGATTCAGTGTCTGAATTTTGAAGTGTTAGGCTGCTGCACTCCCAGGCCTCATGACCTGGTGGCTCTAGGCGGTCGTTCATTTTACGTAAAACTAGCTCGGGCACGCAGTCTGCTCCCCGCGTTGAGTTCGCCTGAAGGCAGCTAGCCAACGGGGTCGCAATGTAAATCTGCGAATAGATGCAACCGTAGGTGCGGCACAGTTGATAGAGCTTATAGCGCATGCTGCGGTAGTAAAAGTTGTCGTCGCACAAGATGAGGTAATCACAGCTTCTGCTATTGTTGGTCGGTCGGAGAACTTCTGGTGGCCAGTCGGCTGCACCTTGGATGTAAGCTATTAGTTTTTCTAAAATTTGTATAATAATTATTCGCTGCTCTCTATAGGCTAATTCAGTATTGATGTAGTCGTCATAGCATAGGTGAACAATTTGATATTCATGCAGAGCATCCTGCTGCTTACTTAGGAGCCAGTTAATGAGCGACGACTTGCCCGCTCCTGGCAGACCAATGAGCGCAAGCAGACAAATTTTCGGCGGCATCGTGTGTTGTTTTGGCGTGTGTATTGTGTGTATTTGAGTGTTGGTTTCTACGTGTATGTTTTGGTTTGTTTAACTATTTCGTACAAGGAACAGCTGCAGCTTGGCATACCACTCCGGAGTCGGTCTGGTGCTAGATGGATAGATTTCCCGGGGCGTTTGGAGGAATTGGCGTCAGCACAGAAGGGCCGGCGGCTGAGGCTTCCTTCTGAGTTTGCTCCTCCTTTTGACGGTCTTCCTTTTGCTGTTGCTCTAACTTTCGGGCATTCTCCTCAACTTCCTGCATGCGCCTTGTATTTATTTTGGTTTGAGCATCCACGTAGACTTTCATAATATTTTGGTTAAAGCGAGCGAACTTGGAGACGCATCTGTCCACGCAAGTGTCCTGATTGGAAGTATACCATAAGGTGTGGACTGCGAATTAGCAAGCGGACATTTGTACTCACCTCCTCGCCGCCCAACTCGCGCTGATTAAAGTTATCGACGCATCGGTTAAAACACATCTCGGTCACTTTGTTGTATAATGTAAGAAAGTCTTTCATCTGCAAGCGAGTGTGTAGTTAGGACTACCGCACATTCTATCAGTGAACAGTACTTACATTACGCAAGTTGGGATCCATCGCTGAGCCAAGATCAACAAAAAAGTTGGGTTTTAATACAGAAATAGTACAATTAAAATTTGTAAATCCCAGCGATTGGGAAAACAGCTGGTTGAATGTTGTCAGTCTACATACTGTGACATCGGTATATCGATATACCGATAGTATGTGCACATATAGAGATGAGAATCATAAATCGTATAATAATAATCGTATGCAATAAGTGGACAGTTAACAGTTTATTAAATATTACTTCTTTTATAATAATTAATACAATTATAAACTGAGGAGCATTTTCCTCATTTTAATATGTCACCTGAGCCGCGGTCTGCAGAGGAATTGGTGCCATCAGCAGTGGGTGGGCGACTCTCACAGCTGTCCTCCCCACTACTTGTCGTGGAGGCACCTTCTTCTGGCGTGGTCTTTGCCGCTTCATCTGATTCGTGTTGGGCTTCAGAGGGACCAACGTCTTCCTTTTCGTTGTCCGCTGCGCCATCTCCCTTTTTGTTCTTTACATGTATGTGAAATTGTTCTAGTATCATTAATGGCACAGAAAAACAACAAATTTGATACCTTCTTGCGTTTCTTTGGCTTCTCAGCTTTCACTGCGTGTAGTTCAGCCTCCTCCTGCAATGCTGATTTGTAATTGTCCGGGAAAAACTGACATGCCTCCTTGTGGCCAACGACCGAGTTGGTGCTTACATAGCTCGGACCGTAAGCCATTAACATGGGCAGAGTCGGGGTATTGACTTTGTTCACCTTCAGGACGATCTTATCGGTGCTTCGTGCGTGTACAAAAATCGACGGTTTAGTTTAATTGCTTAAGTTACCGAGATATGTATGTATTTACTTACGGTACGTAGGGTTTTGCATTGTATTTCTCGACCGAATTGGCTATGAACACCGCTGTCTGAGGATTGTCGCTGGTGAAGAAGCCATAAAGCGGAATGTCTTCTCTGCAAGACTCAAGAATACTGTCCAAATCTTTCTTCTTGTAGGCGTCGAATGTCATTATAATGTGCGGTGGCTCCGGGACAGGATCGGGCGGTAGGAAAGCGGCTGTTTGCCCCCGGAAATATGTGTAAATTAGAGCTGCATGTGTGCGCTGGTCACTGGGCACCCAAATCGGAGGAATGCGGATGGTCTTATAAGTTTTAGCATCCTCCGATTTCACTTCGTCCTGCGCCTCTACTGCTTTGTTGTCCATCTCGCCTTCGCCTTCGTCTTCTTCCATATTCTCTTCATTGCGCTGTTCGACGCATACTATTTCTGCCTCTTTCTCGGACACTGTTGAAGGTCCCACATTAGTTGAGGGCACAACAGCAGCACCTCAGCACTTACCTTCTCTTTGGATTTCAACATTAACCTCGAGCGGCACTATTATGGGTGGTACTGTGATCTCCTCCTCGTTGAACTCATCCGGGGGCTTTATGGTTTCCTTGGTCAGCTCATGGGCATACTGCCGGAGCACGTTGGGCGGACTGCCAAGAGCCTCCTCCACCTTCCAGAAGCACATCAGCAGCTCCTTGTCGTACAACTGCTCGATGACGTCGCTCGCCAGTGGATTCTCAGCTGCAAAGTTCACGGTGGTGAAGTCAGTGGGCGTTATGGCAAAGACTTTGCGATCCTTGCACTGGATCTTCAGAGGATCGGCCGGCTCCGAGAGCTTCTTGAACATTTCCCGGTTGACTTGTGGCCCAAATACAGTTATCCCAATATCGGGAAGGTTCTGCATTATGCAATCAGTGACAGACTTCAGGTACTCTAAGCGCTTCCTCTTGCACTCTTGCAGCTCAATGTCCTCGGCCAGCCGCAGCGCCTTGTTCTTCACCTCCTGCTGCTCCAGTTCGATGGGCTGTAGTTCGGTGATCTCGTAGCAGTGATGGGCCTCCTTGGCAATGGTTGACTGTAGCATCTTGGTGATAATGGCCACCAGCTTGGGCACGTCTGTGCCGAACATGATATTGATGGCCTTTCCGCTCTATAAAGTACCAGATACCAGATACCAGATGCCAGAACTAGACTTCTCGCCGACAGATTCACTTACCGTTACAAACATCCAGGTCGGCTCACTCTTTTTGTTAAACCTCTCCAGATAGGAGATGGAACCAGCTTTGCACTATTTGTCAAGCAAACGAGAGAATGAGAATGTCTGTTCTTGTCAAGTGTGGGCAAGCAAGGAAGGTCTTACGATGGCCAGCTGTAAGTTGTCGCCTCCGAGCTCCAGCTTGATCTTCCGCAGACTGCCCACCATTCCCAGACAGGGTCCACACCACTCCGAGTATATATCGAGCACTGCAGAGAATCGTTTGCACAGGCATCATAAATCATACAAAGGTCCAAGGCTCCAAGGCTTACCGAGCAATCCGGATCGCTGCAGGAATTTCTCAAACTCCTCGTCCGTACTGATGTCCGCCTGAAGCTGTTGGACTCCGCCCTTCTTTGCCATTTTCCGCACACTAATTCATGATTATTCACTCCATCGCCAGCAACATCCATACATACATACTTAGCGCAACATTAAATATTGATTAAACTATGGTTGTCATGAAGACAATTCTTCAATGCCAAACGCCAGCATCTTCATAAATGTGCATGAATAAATAAGGTACAACAGTACGCCTTAGATATAGCACTTGCAAATAGGAAATAACCGCAGCAGTAGTAGTAGTAATAGAACATCTATGTACATGCATTCCCAATCGGTTTTTGTTGAACCAAAGACAATAGGTAAGATGAGTAACGCCGATTTTTTCTGCCTGGCTCTAGAGCTGGATCCAGAGCCAGAGAGAGAGCCAGACTCTCCCTGAGGATCAGATTTAACTGTATGTGGGCAGACGATACTCATAAATTTGAGGTCTGCCTGCTTGTATTGGTTTTTTATGACGGCGCTGTCGAGCATACACCCTTTACTCTAGAATTAATTATATTATACATACATATGTATATACATTAATATGGAATATAATGAGCGATTCTTGCATGGCAAAATATTACTAAAGTTTTCTATTAAAAAGTAGCTATTGATTAGCCATATAATTGGGGAGGAAGGGGCCAAAAATAGTGGACAAAAAGTGGTTTTGTGGCGATCAATTCAAAAACAGATTTCAGCAAAATTTAAGGCCATATTTTGAAACGATTACCTGATAAAAGTTGTGCATTTTTTTGCCAGGTCAAAGTTAATGAAAGGACATTTGACCCGGATAATGAACCAATTCATGTTTCCCGGTCTGCATTGGGCTATTTTGAGATCCACAATATACCGTTGATGAGGGGGCTGGCAATGAGTCCGGACTTAAATCCAACTGAGAATCTGTGAGGTATCCTGGCAGCAAAAGTTTCTGCCTGCACAAGGCAGTACGATACCTCGAAGGACTTCAAATAAGCGATCGTTGCAGAATGAGACAAGATTGAGTTATCAACTCTACAAAACTTGGCAGGTTCAATGCCCTATGGGCTGCAGCACTATTAATTATTTAACTCTCTTAATTTTCCTTTAAACTTGTTCCTTGGAAACGTCTTTTCATTCAAATTGTGTGTGGCTTATATACCCATTTGGAATTTGTTTATGTCTCTTTGTTTTGTACTTGATAACAGTTAACCAAATAAAAATATAAAATAAATCAAGAAAATACATAGGTATTAAAAAAAAAAGGCATCCAAAGCCGAAGGAACACCCGAAACACCCGAAACACTGCTGCACTGCTGTTGAACATGTTTAATTTTTAAAATCTAAATACATATGTACTGATGTGTTACAATTTTGGGCAAACATAGTCTTTCAAAATTCAGAAATCGTCGATAAACACCTTAATGGGAATTTGTTTTCCAGAAATATACGATACGTTTATGTATTTGAATGAATGAACTAATGTGTATTGCTGCTAGAGCTAGTGATTGGTTTGGTGGCGCAGCTCGCGCATTGTGATCTGGAAGAAAGGTATGAGAAAATTAGAGAAAATCATACATACGCTCCACATAAGAATACGCCGGCTGTGTTAGATACTTGTTGTGATTTACAGATTTGAACTGAACTAGTTGCTTACGTTATTTACCTTTAGACGTGTTGAACATTCTATTCAAACATGGTTATTTACCGATGCGGCTTAAGAAATCTTTAAATAATTTCAAATTCAATTAAATTATAGAAACGTCAAGGTCTTAGATAGACTAGAGGTATTAATGAAGAGTAATTTGGGTTTGTTTTTTTTGGTGGATCTCATTGTACATAGGCATAGGTAGGCAGTCAATGGGATAGATTTTCTTGTTACCACCGGAAAAAGCTAACAGTTTTAGATTATTTACGAATTGTATCTAAATACTAATCAACGGATAGCGTTTTAATGTACGCGTGCCCTTTGAAATTATGAATCTCGACCAGTTAGACATAAATGCGAATGCGGGCACTAGTGGGTTCATATCAATTCATATCTATATCTTCCAATCGTACAGGTTGCGTGTACGGTATCACCGATTTCTTGTTGACATCCCTCGATAGGGCCTTTCTCATATCTGCGGCGGGAGGAGGCAAATAAATAAGCGAGTCCTCAGTACAGTGTATACAAATCGGTTACCATACGCATCCTCGTCCTGATCGCCCGAGTAGTATTCGAGTATGGTGCGGTAGATGATGTAGCCTAGGTTCTTGTACATGTTAATTGCCACCTGGTTGCTCTTGCGCACGAACAGATCTACAAAGTACGCCCGCTTCCTAGGGAGACAATGCAGTTGAATGATTTGATCTATTTTCCCTGCTGCGGGACCAAGGCCCAGTAACTACTTCTCCGATATGTCTTCCAAGAAGTTCATCAATAGGGCAGCTAGACCGAGCCGTCTGTAGTCGGGCGACACAGTTAGAGCCGTCACATGTCCGTGCCAGTTGTCCAGGTGTCCCTCTACTTTGCCCATAACTGCAATGGATAGGCAAATTATATGGGAATGTTCTTGTAGAATATTTCGCGGTGGGTGAATTACTGTAGCCCATTATTTGACCACTAGGGGATTCGGCCAGCTGAAAGTACTCCGGCCACTTCGCCAGGTACTGTGTATAGAAGGAGAGTCCGTAGGTTTCCGTAAGTGGGTCGAAATTCCTAAATAAACACGTGAATAGAGTTGGTTAAGTCTTTGCCCTCCTCGCTCCTCTTCGCACACGCAGCTTACACATTGTTGAATTTGAAAAGATCGTCACAAGTGAAGGGTCTCAGCGTAGTCATTCTCACTAATTGAGATATAGATATATCAGCAGAGCAGCAACCGGACGAAATATATTTACTAAATAGTTCAGTCAAACAGGTAGAGATGCGAAAACGTAGATGAATCCAAGGCCTCCTATTATCGATATGTGAGATATCGGTGTATCGATATAGCAGCAACAATTCTTGAACTCTGTGCGGACGACGAGGATTGGAATTAAGGTAGACTGGCCTCGACTCTAATACCTTACCTGATCGATTCGTCTGTATCCAGCATGGTTGTAATCCCAATTCCAAATAGTGAGCACTGGGTAGACTGCATCCCCGAGCGTAACAGTGGTCAATAAAAATGGCGCAAAAACAGCAGGCACGGTCGTCGGGCAAGCCGCAGGACTCTGGCTCCTTGACACGCGAAGACTTCGATGGTGGGCCTGTCAGCATCGACGAAATCGAGACGGGCTTGTTTCTGGGTAAGCATTATTGCTGGTCAACGCTTGATTTTGTCACAATCAGGCTGCTCGCTTAGGCAACTTGACGGCGGCCACGCATATGGAAACACTGAAGTCGTTTAAAATCACGCACATCCTCACGCTTGATTCGGTGCCACTGCCGCAGCACATCTTAGAGGCTAGCTTCCTCACAACCAAATACATTCAAAGTAAGTGCAGCCAGAAGGCGTTCGAGTCCCCCACTGAATTGTGCCGTTTCAGTTGCTGACATGCCGCGTGAGGACATCCTGCAGCATCTGGAAAGCTGCGTGAACTTTATTAGCTCAGCTCTGGATCAGCAGGGCAATGTGCTGGTGCACTGGTAAGCATATCGGATTCAGCGTGTTCCGCACGAGATGAAAATCAGTTTATAATTTCCCGTTGCCCCATTAGCTATTTCGGAGTAAGCCGTAGCTCCTCAACGGTTATTGCCTATATGATGAAACGACACAATCTGGACTTCCAACCCGCCTATGAGCTGGTCAGGGGCAAGCGACGCTTTGTGCAACCGAATTCAGGCTTTATTACTCAACTGAAGCTTTTCCGTCGCATGGGATGCAAAATCGACCCCAGCTACCAGCGCTACAAAATGCATCGCCTGCGCCTTGCTGGGGAGCAGATGCGAAAGGCCAAGATTCTACCGCAGAGTTTTCACAGCGTGGTGCGTCCGGATCCAGACATAACGCGCGAAAATCCCGAGCCAATTGTTTTTCGTTGCCGTCGGTGCCGTCGCGTTCTGGCTTCCAAGTCTCATGTCCTCGAGCACAAGCCGCGCGACAGGCTTCCTCGGGAGGGAACGTCGACGGCTGTCCCAAATGAAGATGCCAGCGGGGAGACTCCGCCGCCGGCCCAGACCCAGGCGGACAACATCAGTGCACCCCGCATGCTGGAACAAGTTGCTGAGCGCATACGCCAATCTTCCCTGGGCTCGCCAGGACACGAGAGCACACCCAACCATTGCCGCAGCATGTTGTTTATAGAACCCATTGCCTGGATGCACCGCATTATGCTCAACACTCAGGGGCGTCTATACTGCCCCAAGTGTGAGCAAAAGCTGGGCAACTTTAGCTGGATCAATGGTTCGTTTTATTACAAAGCCATCATATACTCTGCTAATATCCCTTTCATTATGCCGTTTCAGCCTGCCAGTGTCCTTGCGGCGAGACATTGTCGCCTGCATTTTATCTGATACCTTCCAAGGTGGAACTCTCCAAGGCCGTTCAGAATGTTCAGACGACAGTTTAAATTGGCATTGGCAATGGCATTTGCCGTCAGGGTTACTGGAGCAGTGCGCCTAATGCACAGAAACCAAGCTCCAATTTTTATTGTTACGCAATGATTACATACATGCACACATATGTGCATCTATATACATATGTATATGTGTAAAATATCGCGTTTTGCTGCTTCATACGCATTTGCATTGTTTGTTAGATAGTACCATCTACTCGACTACTTATAAACGTATTTTACATATTTAACTGAACCTTTTGGAAACGAATTTTTCGCTGAATATGAAACATAAGCATATTTCCGGGGACAATACATAAATTTACGCTATCAATGTTGCATGTTAAAGATTCATTTGTCAGCCAATACTGTGTGTGGGCCCGCTTGATTGGATATTGGCCGGAAACATGGTTTCTCTTATGTACATATATAGACGTCTAGACATTCGCATAAGCTAAGCCTATAGATATCGATGTGCTCTGACCTGTTGTACGTGTATTAAATCAAAATGGAGTTGTTTCTTTTTCATTCAAATTTAAGATGATTATCATTTCGAAAAGCCTTTTACCTATAGGGAGCTGGTTCTGGCGCTGCCCGCGTCCCCTGTGCCACAGTGGCGAGCCTGTCGGGAATCGCGTTCTGGTCGCCTTTGACTTTGACAAGACGATCATTCAGCAGGACTCGTACCTGGCCGTGAGCCAACTTCTACCGGGGGCAAGGCGCAACATGGCATTGCTGGAAATATTACCGAAGTTTGGCTGGCAGATCTTCATTAACCGCGTGCTCCAGCTGCTGCATGAAGACCACCAGCTGGACTCCAGGGCGACAGCAGTCGGCCAGCAAGTGCGCAGCATTCCGGCAGTGCCAGGCATGCTGCATCTGATGCGTTGCCTCAACAGAAATCCCACCGTGGACATGTGCATCATAAGCGATGCCAACTCGTTCTTTATCTGCGAGTGGCTGGAATCGTACGGCATCAGGTGCCTGTTCACCGACATTGTCACCAATCCGGGCTGCGTCCAGGCGGACGGTAAGCTGCTGGTCCTGCCCTACGAAGACCAGATTGGCTGCGATCTCTGTGTCCGCAACCTGTGCAAGGGCGGCGTGCTGCAACAGATGCGCTGTGGCGATCTCTATAAGCAAGTAGTCTACGTGGGTGACAGCTGCAATGATCTGTGCCCCATGAAGAGTCTCCGCGCCGGCGACGTCGCCTGCATACGGCACGGCTTTGAGCTGCACGGCAGGATGGCCGCACACAGAAATATGCTGAGTTGCTCGGTTCTGATGTGGCGCGATGGGCACGAGCTGGAGGAGCACTTGCTGCCGAGAATCGCTTGATATGTACTCGATGTGTGTAGGTAGCAAGGCAGGGGAGTGGTTAATGTTAATTCTGCTGTTTTATTCGACTTAAAAATAAATCTTTCTCGTACGCATACAATCATTATTCACTTAATAAAAACTTAAGCATTAGATTTCATGGAAAAGTAGAATTTTACCGAATGCTCAACTGCACTCTGTATCCGCTTCTGGTTAAGTAGATTTGATGCTTACTACTAACTAGTTATTTATTTATTTATCGATCGCTATTGCTATTGCTGCTGCGGCGGTACCAGATATTAGATATGGAATCTAAAATTATTTCACACATAGTTTACCTTTTCATTCTGCTCTGCTCTGTTCTGATCTGTTCTGCTCTGCTCTGAACGGTTCTGAACTGCTCTGATCTCTGCCCTCTTTCTAGTCGATTTGTTGCCGTACGTACTTGTTCTGTGCTCATGTGCTTACTCTTACTCTTTAAAGTTATAAATATATCTGCATGTATTTGTTTGCATCTGGGGGTGTGTACGCTTCTGGTAGCATAAATTACATGTATAATACATTCTTCTTAGCCATTTAAATTACAGAATACAGAATAACTGCTCAACCTGCTCGGTCTGAGGTCTGAGCCTCGAACGAAACTCAATCATGGCTTACAGACTACCGGAACAAAGGGAAACTCGGTAAAAAACTAAAAACTGATAACTAAAAAGTACCCAGTAGTCCAGCACAAGAGGCTACCGGGCGTATGCGCTTAACTACTTACATTGCTACAATCCTTATCTCCTTATAGATACATACACATACAGTTTGAAAAATTCGGCGCATAAGGTATTACAAAATCAAAGAGTGTTCCGTACACATATTTGTAAATCTATATAGTACAGCAATGGTGGCTGGGGCTGGGGCAGGGGGAGGGGGAGTAGGGCTGAGACACATTACGATAACTTAAATACAAACATTAAACACACTATGTATTTCGATCAAAAAAACAAAAAAAAAAACCAACACGGAACAGCGCCCATGGCTGGATGCAGTGGCCCATGAACGAGGATGAAACTGCTGACATGCTGCTGCACAGCTATTTGAATCCAGCGTTTCCAAAAAGCGTCTCAATCGTGCAGCTCCGGTATTAAGCTAATAATAAAATGTACACATATGCCAGCACACGTACATATGCATATAAATACACTTGTATATACATGTATGTACATGTCCATGTATGCACGCAATTGAACTAATTTAGTTTCTGTGAATCGCCATAAACAAACGTACATAAGTGTGAAATACGAGGGGCTGGGCTGTCTGGGCCGGGCCGGGCGATATGCGAATAGTTCCACATGCGCTCCGCCCACCGAGTGCAGTGAGTGTGAGCTTGTCATGTGTGTGTGGGTGTGGGTGTGTGTGTGTGTATCTGTGTTTGTGTGGGTGTGTTTGTAACATTAGGTAGCAACGTTAAGTAAAATTAGTATAGTACGTAGTACTGACAGTAAACTATAATAATAATAATTATAAATCCTTATTTAGTTTCGCTTCATTTTCTCTCCTCTCCTATCCTCCACTCTCCTCTGTCCTCTGATCTTTCTCGCATTCGTTAATACTATGCATGTGTGTGTTTATGTTTTTGGGGGCGGGGGCGGGGACGGGGGTGGGACTGGAGCTTGGGGAGGAGGGGTTGGTTGAACCCGCGTCCGGCGCTTTCTATAAGTCCGTTAAAGTGCGCTTGCCACAATAACGAATAACCCCCACTCAGGCAACAACCGGAGGCGGCGCTATGCCGATTGCTGTGGCAGCTCCTGTGGCCGCTCCAGTCCCAGATGTGACTGTGAGGACAGGCGAGGAAGCGGCTGTGGCTGTGGCTGTGGCCGTGGCTGTGGCCGTGGCCGTGGCCGTCGCAGTTAGAGTCGCAGTAGCTGCGCTGGCAGCTACTGAAACTTCACTGATTCCGCTCCGGTTGAAGCTGCTGCACTCCATCGTGGTGATACTGGGTGCTGCTGCCCCATGCGGCTGTTGTTGTCGCCTGCCTGTCATGGCCAATGCTGTTGTTGTCGCCTCCTCCTCGTTACCCACCACCGCTGGGCATTTGGGACTCAGCGCAGCCACTGGCGATGGAGACGGGCTGCCATTGGCCGTGGGGCTTGAGCTTGGACTTGTTATCAGGGGTACCGTGATCGGTACTGCCGATCCGACTGTCGCCTCTGCCTGTCCAGTCTGTCGCTTTGCCGGCTTGGTCCGCGCACACGGCACACAGAACATGGCGGCATGCTCCCGCAGCTTGGTGATGTGGTCGATGCGATATTCGTGTATCCATTTCATCTTTTTGAGTCGCGGCGTGACCTTCGTCGCCTCGGCCCCACCGGGCGATGCCATTTCAGACACCTGGGGCAGGCCTTCGGGCTTAACGGCGCCACATCGCATGCAGATACAACACCGTTCACAGCTCCAACGCTCTGCAATGTGGATAGATCGGAGATTAACAATTAGCCATGCCATTAGCCAACCTCCTGCTGGTGCTCCTCGTACAGGTTGGATGTTCATTACTCACCATCTGGTACCGTCTTGAGGCCGAGGCAGTAGATGTGATAGCCTCGGTCGCACTGCTCGCAGTAGAGCATCTTTCCGGGCCGCTGGCTGCTCTTGCACTTGATGCAGCACTTGCACCCGGCACACTGCCAGTTGTAGTTCCTCACGCGGCCCACCATGCGCTGTGGCATATCAATGCAGCTCGGATGGACTGCAATAGTAATAATGCAGATTATAAGGCATATTCGAGCGGAAAAGAATGGAGGAGAAAGGAAAGGGGACTTACCGCGCTGTCGACAACTGTAGCAGCGTATGAAGAACTCGGGCATGTCCCTGGCATTGCGGTGCTGAGTGCGCAGGCACACGCCGCAATTTGATAGCCGGGAACGGGCTGACTCGTTCCCTTCATTGTCGCTGCCCGCGGCACTCGAGGCAGCCGTTGAGATGCAGCTACTCGAGCTGCTCGAGTCGCTCTCATCGTCACTGTCCTGTAGTGGAAATTAGGAATTAGCTCTAGGAACTGCTCTAACTGCAGAGAATCACTTACCGTATCACTGCTGCTGCTGGTGTCGCTGGATGAGGATGAGAGGGAGGCTGCGGAGGATGTGCTTGAGTTGCTGGCCGTGCGCACCTTGTCCGACTGCTGCCGCGTGGCCCGTCGACTGCGGCGGACAGCCACCGACACTTTTGGCTTGGCTGCAGGCTGAACCTCGGTTGCGGAGACAGAGACAACGCCGTTGATGCGCTCCAGCAGCTGAGCTTCCAGGCCCGCCTTCTGTGACTGTGTCTGCGGCTTGTCCAGCGCTGTATCCAATGGGTGGGCTCTGCAATGACGAATTGGTGGCTTGCAATTGGCGATCCAAAGGATTCGGGGTCATGGCTTACCTCAGTTCGACGTAATCCAGTTTGCGGTAGGCGAATGAGAACTGGTCCGGCACCACGGGGAGTGGATACGCATAGTCCGGTCGACAGAAAGCTTCATCGTAGTTTCGCGGACCCAGCAGGTCCGGGGGCACCATCATATTCTCCGCCTCGGCTGCCGCCCGCACACCACTTGCCACAGTGCGATATAGGCGGGTGGTCGTGGGCGCTGTCTGCAGCTGGGGCTGGTTCATCGTAAAAGTCTGTAGGTCTAGGCAGGCCAGACGCTCGTCTTTGCGGCTGAATAGATTCGAAAAGTAAACGAGCATTTTCAGACTCTCTCTTGTGGGATTTTGTTTTTGTCGTTGAACTCACGTCTTGTTGAAATAAACATTCCATTTGCTGGCCGAGAGCATGGCTCGGTCTCTGGCCTGGAGTCCACGGCCAGGGGCAACCGAGATGCCGAGCGCCTTTTGCTTGGCCTCGATCTCGCGCAAGTGCTTGAGACGCATATACTCCTTGTACTCCTCGTACTTGTCGTAGAAGTCTGCGTACATTATGTCCAGTATGTCGGAGGCCCACACCGCGGTGATTCCCAGGTCGCACATCTTCTCGCTGACCAGTCCCTTCTCCTGCAGCCAGTTGCGCTCCTCCATATCGACGGCGCGGCGTGGCAAGTCCGGGTACTTGCGCTTAAAGCTGGTTATCCCCAGATAGAGGGCCACCTGCTCCTGGATCATGAAGGTATCGCGATTCTTGGACGGGCAACAGCCTTTCGGTGGAGGCCAATCGTACTCGGCAATGCTGGATGCCTTAAAGTCCGTGCTGCACGCGCAATATTAGGAAGGAAGGAAGGAAACAGAAGGTTAGTTTATGGAGATGGCATGTAGTTGATAAAGGATGCACTTACTCTTCGGCCACACAAATCTCCATTTTCTTTTTCTTTGGACGTTTCTGGGCAGACCCAAGGATGGCGTCAACGGATTGACCCTGATTCGAGTCCAGCATGCTTACGTTGCTCACCACCGATGACTGCGACTCCTCGTTGTTGAGGAAATCGGGTTGCCTGGGGAAAGATCTGACAATGTAGTTCCGTTTCTCCCTCCTGGAGGGGGGGGTCTCGTTACTCGTTAGAAACTTACTTTTGAGGCGTCAGAGGCGGCTCCATTAGGCACCCCATCATGGATTGGTTGCTGTTCCCAAGATCGGCGCTCATGCGGGTGTCCTCCTCAAAAACTTGGGGCGACTGAAGAGAAGTATTCAATAAAGGAGAAAGTTTAAATATACATCATAATATACTATTTCTTTATATATGTATTTATCTTAAAACAAAAATTAAAGGCAAGTTTTGAACCCGTACCCCCAATATCTGGACTGGAAATCAAATGCAAAAACATTGTCACGATATTCCTGAGCTTTCCGCTCCTCACACACACGCACACACACACACACATGTGTCTGTATGTATGGATATAGTATGCATGTCCCGAAGAATCGAATAGGTTTTCATGAATGGCAAGTAATATTATTTCCTTCTTTCTTTTTTTTAGTGTTTTTTAAAGCAAGTAAATTTGTTATTTACTATTAATAAAGAAATATACATATGTATATAAAGAGCCAGTTTTATTTCCATCAGGTGTGTACATGGTAAATA